AATCAAAAGAGGTAGTGCTTGGTGAAGCCCACGTGGGACTCTCAATGTTAAAAACAATCAGGAAACGACAAATGAAGTTTTTGGGACACAAAAATAGACATAAGGGTCTTGAACATCTAGCTCTCACTGGCAAAATTAGGCCAAGCGAGGCAGGGGAAGGCCCAGAGCAAGATACTTAGGGAACCTAAACAAATGGGTAACGGGGAAAGATCAGGGAAACGGCTTTTTTTGAGAGCATACGAGCGAAGGAATGAATGGAGGACCATGATCGCCGATGTCGGTCGCAGATCTGGCACTGGATGATGATGAAGTCTCCTTGAGGTCGTTATGAGAAAAATGCAAAAATCTGCTGGACTTCAGCATGATGTATTGAGTCTGGGCAACTTGTGAAGGTTATAACTCTAATTTAAACCCATCCACTCATTCAATTAGATGATTGGTTCTCAGAGTAAGAACTCTATTTTTACCAAAATGTAACTTAGCCTCTCTATTTTTCTGCCATTTAAAAAAAAAATGTGAGGCAGCGTGGTGGAATCAGGCTCTCGTCAAAATAATCAAAGTGAAGAAACTTGCATTTTTCTGCAGGTTTCTGAATTTTTATCAAATTTTCGTTTTTGGGCTGAACATCTTTCATGCAAATTGAAGAATTCATTTCTGTGCTGATTTTTCTGAAAAACGTTGATTAAAGGCACAAAAATGTAAATTTTCAATTACCATGGACTCTTAAGCTAAGGAAATAACTAATCTTTGGCGGCCATTTTCTCCCTAATTTTACCTCTGAAAACAAGTGACCCCCACTTCCTTCTTTTGCAAATATCTCGACTTGTATTCAAGATAAATTGATATTTTTTCATCCAAATAAAGGCAAGTGAACAAGCTTTAAGATGATACCAATAATTCTACATGAACAAAAATTGACGAGAGCCTGATTGAACCACGCTGCCTGTCGCTTCTCGTCTCACCGTAAGCCTCTTGTTCAGCCCCTCGTTCGTTCTTTTCTGATCTGCCAGATCTTTCTCTAGCTCCTTGATCCTGTCGGAAGAAACACATCATAGTTGTAACGTGCCTGTGTGCGTGTGTGTATGTGTGTGTGTGTGTGTGTGT